ATGCTGGCGAGGAGGCAGAGAGATCGGGACTCGCATACACTTCTGGTGGGACTGTCAAATGATAAATCACTGTGGAAAGCAGTATGGCAATTCCTTAAAAGGTTGGAATTAGAAATACCATTTGACTAAGCAATTCCATTTCTAGGTATATATCCCAAAGAAGTGAAAGCCAGGACAAGAATAGACATATGCATACCCATGTTCATCGCTGCACTATTTACAATAGCAAAAAGATAGAAACAACCTACATGCCCATCAAAAAAGAATCAATAACCAAACTATGGTACATACATACAATGGAATACTATGCAACCCTAAAGAATAACGTAGAATCTGCAAAATATCACATAACGTGGATGAACTTGAAGGACGTTATGCTGAATAAAATAAGTCAATCACAGAAGGACAAATATTATATTAGTCTGTTATTGTAAAAAGTCAAGGAAAGGTTAATATATGGAAGGAAATTTTCTTTGTTGGTTACCAGAGGTGGGAGGGGAGGGGAGGGAACACTGCTAGATAGGAAGAGACAAGTATTGATTTGGGTGAAGGGAAGCATACTGTACTAAATGTGAGTGATCAACATGGTGGCAATGAGGAAGAAGAAGATATAGAGAGGTGCATGGGAGTTATAGACAACAAAGATGAAATTGAACCCTTTTGCACACACAGTATTGCGGTGTCAGTGATGGCAAACACTGGTATACGGGTGGATAAATGGGTGGACAGGCTGAACTATTAGGGTATGTCTATGCATGGAGGAGGGTTGGCAGACAAGGTTTCTACTAGTGTAGAAATAAATTCTGTAAGAATTTCCAGGCATATAGTGGAGCCGACAAGGGACAAGGTTGTAGTCACTTCTTGGCCACAGACAGCTACCCGGGGGAAGTGAGTAGTAGACCTGTGGGCTCAGGACTATGTTTGTAGGGGACACCAAGCTCAATTGACATAACATTATTACACAAAAACATCCTACTTCGGTGAGTAGCAACAGATATTTCAAAAGCTTGCAAGCAGCCATCTAGATGCAACGAAGATCCATCTAGAAGCAAAGAAGATTGAAGAAAACCAAAAATGCAAGGAAATAATTAATCCAAGGGACAGGTACACCATGCAATCCTCAGCTTTTATGACTATGGAACCAGAAGCACTAGATGGAGCCCAGCTCCCACTGTCAACCACTCAGAGGGGGATCTATATATAAGATTCTGGATAGAGTGGGAGAATAATGTGGAACAAAACTCAAAATCATAAAAAAAAAAAAGGACCAGGTTTACTGGTTTGATAGAGCCTGGTGAAACTCCTGAGACTACAGCCCCTAGCTGCCCTTCAGGTCTGGAATTGAACCCACTCCTGTGGCTTCCAGCCAAATAAAAGACCAGCATATGAGCTAAACATTTACATTGTTATGGCCATCGAGTTGGACCCGACTCATAGCGACCCCTCCTTTGGTTTCCCAGACAGTATCACTACGGAAGTAGATTGCCCAACCTTCCTTCCGAGGAGTGGCTGGTGGGTTTGAACTGCCAGCCTTCTGGTTAGTAGTCAAGTGCCTTAGGCACTATGCTACCAGAGCTCCTAACATTTACATTAGGTAGATATAATCCTTGGAGAGATCAATCATGGGAGAATAGAAGAGCTATGTATGCACAGGGAGACAGCTCGAGGGCAGGACAGCATGGGAGGAAAGGACATAGGGAAGAAGTAACTATGGGGAGGAACTGGGAAGAGAGCTGTACCACTGTGGGAAATTGCAGTCAATGCCATGAGACAAAGTACATGTGAACTGCCATATGGGAAATGAATTTGCTCTGTAAACTTTCACCCAAATCATAGTAAAAATTAAAGGAAAAAAAAAATGTCCAGGTTCTGTTCTATAGGCATTTTACATCAACCTGTGGAATGATGGTAGAATTTTAACATGAAATTTTTCCTTTTGCTTATGTGGACTTTCTAAATTTTATACAATAAATATATTTCTTCCTGTGGTTTTAAGATATTTCAATCTCTCTCAAAACATAAATGTACTGGTATGATATTTAAACTGTTCTGGCTCAGGAGGCCTAGTGCCTAAGGCATTTGACTGCTAACCAGAAGGCTGGCGGTTCAAACCCACCATACACTCCTCAAAAGGAAGGTTGAGCAATCTACTTCTGCAGTAATACTGCCTCAGAAACCCAACGAGGGGTTATACAAGTAAAAATAGTTGAAATGGCACATGCTGTGTTATATACATTTCACCACAATAAAAATTAAAAAAAAATTATGTCAGTTAAGGCTCCTAGGACGAGGGCAGAAAATATACAATAAGCCTGCAGTATTTTGTAGTGCCAGAAAGTAAGGAAGTGCTCAAAAAACTAAAGTATTAGGGTATGTCAAATGGACAGAGGAACCAGTAGAAAAAGCTCTCAACAGCCAAAGCTGGAATAATTTGAGCAATAATGTAAATACTGTAGTATTACATTACTACCCAAAGTATAAAATAAATATCCATGAGTTCATATTCATATAAACCAATGTTTGAATAAATATTTTAAATGGAATATAGACAAATCTCCCATATATAAGAATTTCAAATAATTATGTAGATATTTTCCCCTCAAGGCAGTGGAGCATAACTCCCTAAGTATGGGCTTTGGAAGGCAAATTCTTTCTAAAAAGTATAGTGGTGTTGTTGTTATGTGCCGTTGAGTCAGACCCGACTCATAGCGACCCCTCCTTGGGATTCCGAGGCAGTATCACTACGGAAGTAGATTGCCCCATCTTCCATCTGAGGAGTGGCTGGTGGGTTTGAACCACCAGACTTCTGGTTAACAGTAAAGTGCCTTAGGCACTATGCTACCAGAGCTCCCAAAAAGTATAGTGCGGAAAGTAAAGGACTCCCCAGGTGGCACAACCAAATAGTTTAAGCATCTGACTACTAGCGGATGGTTGGCAGTTTGAATACACCCTGAAGTGCCTCGGAAGACAGGCCTGGTGATTTGTTTCCAAAAGGACACAGCCTTGAAAACCCTAAGAAGCAGTTCTACTCTGCACACATAGGGTTGTGAATTAGTATGTGAATTACATATCAATAAAGCTATTATTAAAAAAAAGAAGCATAAGTATACAAAAAATTAACATACCATCAAAATGGGCAAATGATAAAAACAAGCATTTTGCAAAGGAAGAAATTCTCAATCTTGTTTATGGTCAAAGACATACAAATTTTAAATATGAAACAATTTTTTTAACTATCACTTTGGTAGGTAATAATTATCTAGGGTTAGTTAGGGTACAGGAAAACAGGCTTTCTCACAATCTGCTGGTATTGTTTTTTGAATATTTCCTGCAGAAAATTTCACAGTATTCATCAAAAAACTTGAAAAGATCTTTACCCTTTGACACAATAGTTCTCCTTTTAGGAAGTTATCTTAGGAACATAGTTGTGCATATACATAAATATTAATCTCTAAGGATATTCATTATAATATTTTTCTAATAAAGAAAATTGTTAAAAAGCTTAACTGTTCCATATTTGTATTGTATAACAGATTTGTTAGGGTAGATCTGTGTTATGGAGTTGTGTGTATCTCCCACTTCAGTCTCACAAAAAGGATTGTCTAAATGGATTAATATTGTACTCTGTTACGGACTGAACAGCATCCCTCCAAAATGTATGTTGGAATATTAACTCTTATTTCTGTTAATATAATCCATTTGGGAATAGTTTTCTTTGTTATGTTAACAAGACCCTATCAGTGTTGGGTGTGTCTTCACTGCAACCACTTTTCAATTATAAAAAGGGCAGATTAGGCACAGAACCAAGCAAGCACAGATGGGGAAAGATAAATGCCATGCCATATGAAGATCACCAAGGAATGGAAGAACAGAAGCTAAAAAGACAAGGACCTTCCTCTAGAGCTTCCAGAGAGCAAGAAAAACTTCCCATAGAGCTGGTGCCCTGAGTTCAGATTTCTAGTCTCCTAAACTGTGAGAAGGAGCTCTGGTAGCATAGTGCCTAAGGCATTTGACTGCTAACCAGAAGACTGGCAGTTCAAATCCACCAGCCACTTCTTGGATGGAAGATGGGGCAATCTACTTTCATAGTGATTTGTTGTTGTTGTTGTTGTTTGCCGTCGAGTCGGCCCCGACTCATAGCGACCCCTCCTTGGGTTTCCGAGGCAGCATCACTACAGAAGTAGGATTGCCCAACCTTCCTTCCGAGGAGTGGCTGGTGGGTTTGAACCGCCAGCCTTCTGGTTAGCAGTCAAGTGCTTTTAGCCACTATGCTACCAGAGGGTGGTGCAGTGCCTAAGGCATTTGACCTCTAACCAGAAGGCTGGCGGTTCAAACCCATCAGCCACTACTCGGAAGGAAGGTTGGGCAATCCATAGTGATACTGCCTCGGAATCCCAAGGAGGGGTCTGACTTGATGGCATACAACAACAACATAACAACAAACTGTGAGAAAATAAATTTGTCTGTTAAAGCCCCTCTTATGGTATTTCTGTTGTAGTAGCACTAAGAACCTAAGACATATCCCCAGCATCAAACACTGCCTCAGCACATAAAAGACCTTCATTTATATGTTATATATGCAGCCATTAAAAATAATATTAAAGAATGTTTAAAACATTAGAAAATGTTTAATTCATATTGTTAAGGGAAAAAAAAGCAGATTACTAAATAGTTTCATCCACTTAGTATCTATAAAGGCTAGCTGTATATACACTACAATGAGCTCCTATGTTGTTGTTGTTGTTATGTGCCATTGAGTTGGACCCAACTCATAGCGACCCCTCCTTGGGTTTCCGAGGCAGTATCAGTACGAAAGTAATTGCCCCATCTTCCTTCCGACAATGAGTTCCTATAGTTAATAGTCATTTATGAGTGGTAAAATAATATTTTTTTGTATTTTCTAAACTTTCTATAATAGATATTATTAGTGTTATAATTAAACATACAAAATACTATTTTAAAATAACATACTATAATGATTTTTAAAAAATATCTCTTACCCTTAATGTTACTACTCGTGCTTTAGGATTTCTAACAGATGGTCCTGCTGAAATATAATCAGCTGTGTCTATTTCAATTGGAAAATGCTTCTCACATTTCTCATCACTGTCTAGTGCAGTTGGCCACTCAGTGCAGAAATCTGAGAATTTAAAAATATTATCTTAATTATATTTTTGCAAGTAAATTCTCATTGTAAAACTAAATTACTGAGAGAGATCATTCTCAGTTTACATGAAATGAAAGTACAGATTCTCTTCTGTGCTTAACATACACATCATCATCCTCCATCCATTATCTTCTTCCAAAACCAAACCAAACTCACAGCCATCGAGTCAATTTGACTCATAGCGACCCCTCCTTTCAACCACCAGCATTCTGGTTAGTAATCAAATACCTTAGGTACTACACCACCTCTTAGATGAATTATAATTAGAGAACTTAATTGACTTATGATTTGGATATTCCAGGTCTGATGGAGAATGATATATTGAGTTAAAAGGGAATTGTGACTTGATAGGTGATTATAACTTTGCATATATCTATTATGGTACTAATTAATACCTCCTCCTCAACTAAAAGCAAACAGTTAACAGCATCTAGTGTTTTTGAAAGATAAAAAAGATCATATTAATTCACTCCCAAATGAAGTTTACTAAAGATCAACTGAATGGAATTGAAAACACTCTAAGAGAGACCTGAAATGTGGTTCCAGAAATTGAGTTGAACAGAGTCCCAAATGAAGTAGGTTCAAAAGTGGAGGTCATCCTTAAATGGTTTCTTACAGTAACTCATGCTTCTTTTATGTGACTTCTGTGCCAGTGAGGCCTAACAGAAAGAATAGCAGTCTTCCTATTTAGGTAAGACAGCTACCCTAGAGAGGAGGTAGAACTGGACTCTCTATCTCCATAGCCCAGCACTATAAACTCAGGCCCTAACTGGTAATAAAACTGAAGAGGAAAAGAGGTAGCTCCCAGCCTTTTTCAAGTGTTAGTTATTGATGTACTCCACAAAAGTAGGCTTCTTCCACCTTGCCCTATTCCTACCAAGTTAGTGTGGTAGAGAGTTCTCAGGTTGGGATGAAAACTTCTGGCACTATCAGGTTCCTCTCAGTGGAAATCTCATTCCTTAAATAGCCTTACTCCAAGAATAGCTAAATGTAATTGGCTACTTAGGTTAAACACAGTAGACCTCATGGACTTAAGCTTCCTTCAAAAAAATATGGCTGCAGGCAAGGCTGATCAAAATCACAGACAGATGTGGCAGCTCTTCTAGGTGATAAACTGTGACAGTGAAAGGTATTATGCCAACAATATTTCCCTGAGCTAACAATTTTCTTATAGTAGGTACTATATTTAGTGGCCATTTAGGTTTTAAAATCAGAGTCAGCAAAATGTCATTTTGAGTTAGAGACTCTCAAAGATCTGGAACTAAATACATGTTAGCAAATTAAGTATAGCTAACACCATTCCCTAAACATCCTGTTTAAGAGATCAATACTCAGTCACTTTGAGGGGAAAGAAGTATCTTTGCAATTAAGGACATTTTGACATGTAATATAAACAAAGCAAGATTACTAAGGTTGAATTTCATTCCCATTATGGACTTATTACAGTATCTTGCACTATAAGATGCATCACGACCAAAAAAGAGACTAGTTTTAAGAATGTTACAAGCTTTTTTGGGTTTATACCAAATCCTTAAAAAAAAACACAAAAACCTGTGGTTAAGCCATTTCAGTCACCAAAGGCTAATTATAGTTTTCAAATTAAATGACTTAATTATGTCTCAAAAATTACAGGCCACTAGAAAGTACATAATAGACCACCACTAGCCTTTATTCATCTGCTAGGTATAGTAATAGACTAGACTTTGGAAGACCTCCGTTTTTATTTCACTTCTTCTGCCACTGATTATTAAAGTTCTGGTAAATTACTGAACTTTCCTGTGTTTCAAATTTTCCTTCTGTAAGTTAGATATAAAATCTGAATTGACCTACTTTGAAAAGAAAATTGAGAAGAAATATGTGAAAAGCCTTTGTGTTATTTGTAAGATATAATCTAAATCCAAAAGCTGATGGAAGTGTAAAGGCAAAATTAAGAAAAGTTTAAAACACATGCTTAAATATTTTAAAATATAATGCTATTCTTTTCATTGTATTGTATGAAAGCCTTTCATTTCAAAATCAGAGCATATTTTTAAAAGATTTAACAAAAACACACAGTTTCTGGATTGGAGACATACATGTTCAGACAATGTTTTAAAAGTGAAATTTACCCTAGTATAATACATTTTTGAAAAGATCAAAAATTGATGTATGATTTGTGCCAAATAGGGCACAAAAATTCATTTGGAGTAGTGGTCAGTGTTAGTCCAATTTCAGGTATAAGCAAATATTGATTTGTATCTTCTGGAAAAACGGCAAATATTTTCTTCTGTTCTTCTGTCTTTTTATGTATGCTTTCTATAACGCATTAATAAATTCCTAAACTACCTGTGAGCAACTATGATTTGGTTCTGTTTATCATAACACTTTGTAGAATGTGATACAAAGATGTTCTTTTGAGGACTAAGGTGTACCTGACCTAAGCCACAGTATTTTTCAATTGCCTCATATGCATGTGAAAGCTGAACAATGAATAAGGAAGACCAAAGAAGAATTGGTGCCTTTGAATTATGGTGTTGGCAATGAATATTAAACATACCATGGACTGAGAGAAGAACAAACAAACCTGTCTTGGAAGTACAGCCAGACTGCTCCTTAGAAGCAAAGATGGCCAAGACTTTGTCTCATGTATTTTGGACATGTTATTACAAGGGACCAGCCTCTGGTGAAGGACATCATGCTTGCTAAAGCAGAGAGCCAGTGAAAAGGAGAGACCCTCAATGAGGTGGACTGACACAGTGGCTGCAATAACGGGCTCAAAGAGTGACAAGTGTAAGGATGGTACAGGACTGGGCAGTATTTTGTTTTACTGCACGTGGGGTCACTAGGAGTTGAAACTGTCTTGATAACACCTAACAACAATAAGAGTGGTCTGAAAAAAAGGTGCAGATTTTACATCTAACAATTCACTGCAATTTTAAAATTCCTTTAAAAAAAAAATAGAAACCAGTAATGACTCAAGAATTTAAGGCTGAGATTCCTCTATCAGTATATTAGAACTGAGATTCTCAATTTTATGTTCAAAATCAATATTAAGCTCACACACCTTTAAGTTCACCAATAGAAAGTTTACTTACCTTTAAGAGCTTCACAGTGTTTTTTAATTGCTACAGGGGTCAAATGCAGAAAATTGGGGATCTAAAATAGAGAAATTCGCAGGATAAATTAACCAAATGTATTAAAAACACAAAAAGGATAATTTTCTCATAAAAGTAAATCACAGGTCCAACAAACATTGTAGTAAATAAAATCTGATAGCTTTTTACAATATTAATACTTTATGTTACTGAATGAAAACCTACTGTCAAGTTGATTCTAACTCAGAGCAACATTATAGGACTGAAAAGAACTGCCCTATAAGATTTCCAAAGCTGTAAATCTTTATGGGGGAGCTCTGGTAGCATAGTGCCTAATGCACTTGACTGCTAACCAGAAGGCTGGCGGTTCAAACCCACCAGCCACTCCTCGGAAGGAAGATGGGGCAATCTACTTCCATAGTGATACCATCTCGGAAACCCAAGGAGGGGTCGCTATGAGTCGGGTCCGACTCGACGGCATACAATAACAACAACGACAAATCTTTATGGAAGCAGATTGCCTCACCTTTCTTCCACAGAGCAGCTGGTGGTTTGAACCACTTATCTTTTATTCAATAGCTGAATGCTTTAACCACTAAGACACCAGAGCTCCTATTATGTTACAGATGCTTTGGAGTCAAGAAATAAATTTCTTGAAATACAAATTAAGTACTCTGTACCTTATGAAGGAGCCCTGGTGGCACAGTGGCTAAATGCTCTGCTGCTAACCTAAAGGTAAGTGGTTCGAATCCACCAACCACTCAATGAAAAAAAGATGTGGCAGTCTGCTTCCATAAAAATTATAGCCTTAGAAAACCTATACCAGAGTCAACTCAACAGCAATGGGTTTAGATTTATGGGTACATTATGACAAAAATGGAAGCTCTGGTGATGTAGTGCCTAAGGCATTTGACTGCTAACCAGAGGCTGGTGGTTCAAACCTACCAGCAACTCCTCAGAAGGAAGATTGGGCAATCTACTTCCATAGAGATGCACAAACACAACACACTGCCATCAAGTCGGATCTGACTCACAGCAACCCCTCTTTGGGTTTCTGAAGTGATATCACTACAGAAGTAAATTGCCCCACCTTCCCTCTGTAGAGATATCGCCTCAGAAACCCAAGGAAGGGTCGCTATGAGTCAAATCCACTTAATGGCAGTGAGTTTGGTTTTGGTTTACGACAAAAATTATGTTGGATAAATAAACATCAGTATATAGTATTCTTTCTGGTACTAGAGCTATAGGCGTACATGGGTGTTTTCTCTTATAGAACTGAAAACACAACACAGTTCATTATTCTTTAGAATACATAACACAGTGGTACATTTCTACTTTATACTTAATAACATTTTGTGATTTGAAGGAATGAATAAATGCATTTGGTAAGAAGTTTTCAATATACTTATGACAACACATTAAAAGGCTACCTAATCATTCACAGGGTGAATGAAAATTTAGGAAAGATCAAAGACACTTCTTAATGATCTGAAGAAAAAATTTAACTTAATGAGACTCATTTGGAGAGAAAATCTTGCTTCAGAAAATAAAGAAGTTAAAGCTGATAGACTCTAACAGTACTACTAAATAATATTCTACCATTTCTACAGAGTTTTAAAATCTCTCTTAAAAGTCAAAACCTTAATTCTCAATTTTCAATGTAAACTAGGCTGTTTCACTTTTCTCAGGACTACTAGGCAGACATAATAAATACAGAAAACATACAGTAGAAAAGAAAAGGCAAAAAGGAAAGCAACTGGATCAATTAATTACATTCTTAAATGCCTAGGATTCTTCTACTCAAAATCAAAATATAACATTCATTACATGGAAAAAAAATTAAATTAAAATAGCATAGTGGCTAAGACACTTGCCTGCTAACCAGACGGCTGGCGGTTCAAACCCACCAGCCACTCCTCGGAAGGAAGGTTGGGCAATCCTACTTCCGTAGTGATACTGCCTCGGAAACCCAAGGAGGGTCGCTATGAGTCGGGTTTGACTCGACGGCACATAACAACAACAACAACAAAGTTTGTACATACTGAACCTTGAAGTATAATGGTGGAGGGAGGGAGTGGCAACAGATATTCAAGTATGATGTAAGTCTTAGCCAATGAACTGGCCACTTATCTTACCTTTAAAAGTTCTAGATTTCCCTCCTTTGCCATGGGCACTCCCCTCTTTACTGGATAACCCATTCGAACAGGAAGAGGTACTGCAGAGGGTTTAAATGGTGCTGCAACAGGGTAAACACTAGGCCAGTCTTGGTCAACAATCATTTTCTCTGTCCTAGGAGACAGTGCCTAAGGAGCATAAAATAGTTTAATATTTTAAATATGAGCAGGTTCTTTAATTTGAAAATGAAAAAGGCTGCAATTAAGAGAAATATAAGCATCTTAGCCATAGCCAACCTCCTTAAGGGAGCAAGTAGTTGGACCTGTGGGCTTGGGACCACGGTTACAGGGGACATCAAGCTCAACTGGCATAACATACTACACAAAAACATTTCCACATGCTACTTTGGTGAGCAGTGACTGGGGTCTTAAAAGCTTGCAAGTGGCTATCTAGATGCAACGATGCATATTTCCTCATCCAGAACAAAGAATGAAGAAAACCAAAGATGCATGGCAATAATTAGTCCAAGGAACTAGTAGACCATGCAATTCTCAGCCTATATGACCAACAAGACCAAAACTAGCTGGTGCCCAGCTACCACTGTCAAACACTTGCAAAGGGATCAGCGCAGGAGATCCTGGATAGAGTAGGAGAGCAATGTGGAACAAAACTGAAAATCATAAAAAAAGACCAGGTTTAATGGTCTGACAGAGCCTGGTAATACCCCCGAGACTATGGGCCCTAGTTACCCTTCAGGTCTAGAACTGAACTCACTCCTGTGGCTTCTAGCCAAACAATGGACAGGCATATAGGGTAAACATTTGCATACGGTAGATACACTCCTTAGAATCATCAATCATGGGAGAACAGAAAGGCAGTGTTTGTACAGGGAGATAGCTGGGGGGGTGGGGGTAGGAATGCACAGGAATGAAGGACACAGGGAAGAGTTAAATACAGGGAGGAAGTACAAAGAGAGCTGTTACGTTGTGCGGCATTGCAGTCAATGTCATGAAACAAAACATGTATGAACTGTTGTACAGAAAACAGGTTTGCTCTGTAAAATTTCACCCAAATCACAAAAATTGAAAAAAAAAAAAAACCAAAAGAGAGAGGGAAAAAAAAAAAAGCAGAGATGTAGGCTACATAAAAGATGACTCTACAAAGCTGCTGTTTAAATGAAAAACAAAAAACCACCACACCAAACGTACCTAAATATCTTAGCATTGTTTGCCCAAACCCTCTATCGAAGATATTTTTTTTCTTTTAATTTTTATTGTAATTCAGGTGAAAGTTTACAGAACAAATTCATTTTCCATACAGTAGCTCATACACATTTTGTCTCATGACACTGACCACAAATTCCCCACAATGTAACAGCTCTCTTCCCACTTCCTCCATAGTTACCTCTTCCCTGTGTCTTTCCATCCCATGTACTCCCACTCCCCCAAGCTGTCTCCCTGTGCAAACACTGCCTTTCTGTTCTCCCATGATTGATTGCTCCAAGTTCAAAGATACTGTTTAATATCACATTTCTTTCCCTAAAAACTTTTCTATTTAATTAGGCTTTAGCAAACTTTTTACATTTTGTTTATGAAGGAGTGAGGCAGCAATGTATTTTGAAATAATTTTTAAAACTTCTCTGATTGAAGATAATACCTGAGGTAACGCTGAGAGCTTGTAAATAAGAAATAATGAAAATGAAAGATAAGAATTTGGAGATACATAAATTAAGGTTAAATTAAACGAACAAATACCTAAGAAATTATGTATCTCCTATATGCAGAGAAGGGAGCTCTGGTAGCATAGTGCCTAAGGCACTTGACTGCTAACCAGAAGGCTGGTGGTTCAAACCCACCAGCCACTCCTCAGAAGGAAGATGGGACAATCTACTTCCATAGTGATACTGCCTTGGAAACCCAAGGAGGGGTCACTATGAGTTGGGTCTGACTCAACGGCATATAACAACAATATATGCAGAGAAAGGAGCTCTGGTAGCATAGTGCCTAAGGCATTTGACTGCTAACTAGAAGGCTGGCGGTTCAAACCCACCAGTCACTCCTTGGAAGGAAGGTTGGGCAATCTACTTTCACAGTGCTGCCTTGGAAACCCAAGGAGGGGTCGCTATGAGTCAGGTCCGACACGACAGCACATAAGAACAACAACAACATATGCAGAGAATAGCTGCTTGAAGCTAAGTCAATCTCATTAACATATATTTAATAGGAAAAAAAAAAAAAAAGCTGTATTAAGTAGAAGGAGACTGCCAACATATAAAAACAGGGTTTAAAGAGGCAAATTCAGCATCACCCATCTAAAAATCATCAAAGCCAGAGTGGCACGTGTCCCAGAGGCAGGTATCCTGGAGACAAGTAATATGCCGGTGACAATGACAGTTTCAGACTACAGTAGTTTAGTACCATTTAACTTCTAACTAATATGCCTTTTCTCTGGCTCCATGCTCATCAAGTGACCTTACAATTTGGATTCGCAATTAGAGACGCCCACAGGGTGACATTTAAATGGTGAGCCTGACGCATGTATCCCAGGCTGCATGACTGTTGTGTCATAAAAATTAATTCTATATTGTTGCTTATATATCTGTTTCCTGGGAGTATATGGTGAACCTACCTCTCAAGGATGATCCATATTTTGGGTACTGACAAAAACCAGTCAAAGACGAGACTCTGGCAGAACTGTGGAAGTCATCAAGTAAACATCACCTTATGAAGCCTTTCCTGGCAGCACCAGAAGGTGCTCATCCTGAATATATGCCCCATATAAGAGATTAACGGAAGGAAGTTTGGGCAATCCTACTTCCGTAGTGATACTGCCTCGGAAACCCAAGGAGGGGTCGCTATGAGTCGGGGCTGACTCGACGGCAAATAACAACAACAAATAAGAGATTCAGAAACTATTATAGGATACAGTATATTATATAGCATATACATTATATACTATATAATAAAGTATACAGTACAATATATTAATTGTTTACCTTTCTTCTCATCAGCCTTTCATTTCTGTATGTTTTAATGCTTTCTGTTGTACCTACAAGACAAAATAGTTACAGGGATTTTTATAATGTAGAGTTGTTCAACATCAATCATGATCCCATAATTCTAACACAATTTAAGGTATTCAGTAACATAAAAATGAATGACCCACTTTTTACAAGCTTATGAGTTATAATCCTCTTAATAAAAAGCAAAGGTCAGAAATCATTAGAAAATCCCATTATAATTTGAATACAAAGTTTATTGTGATTGCTGATATGATAAACTTATCATTTAAAGAAATATTTGCAATAATATTAGGGTTCACATTGAAATAAACTCTTTAAAGTATCTAGTGAGATGCAAGTATTTTGAATTTTTAAAGATATTTGGTTTGAAATGTCCTGATTATAAATGTATTTGCTCTTGTTTGGATATTTCTGTTCTTTATAACCTCCCCCCAAAAAAGACAATCCTTTAATTTTTCCTTTTCTATTATAAATTCTGATACACAATGGTTAGAACATTTTGCTGCTAACCAAAGGTTGGCGATTCAAACCCACCAGCAGTTCTACAGGAGAAAGACAGGGCAGGCAGCCTTAAAACACTGGATACCCTATGGAGCAGTCCTACTCTGTCCTACAGTGTCACTGTGAGTCAGAATTGACTCGATGGCAGTCAGCTTGGTTTTTTGCTTTACTGTAGAATAGAACTGCCAGTGCAACAGTAACACCAGTAACAAAAATTATATTCATTCCTAATAAATCACATGCCTGTAAAAGAAGGTAGATTATTCATGTGTGTGTACATAAACATAAATGTGTATACATAAAATATTACCTTATGCCTCTTTAAATAAATGTTTTTGCTATACTGAAATAATCACAACTCTTTACTGATGAGTTCCACATGCCAGGTACTGTGCTAAATGCTTTTCATCATATCATTTAATCTTATTCCTCACAAAATATAAGTACTAGTTTTATCCTTATTTTAGAGGTCAATAACGTGAAGCTGAAAAAGGTTAAGCAACTCTCCTAAGGTCAAATGCTACTATCCAGGGGCACAAACGGAACCCAAGACTGTTTAATTCTGGAACCTGTGCTCCTAAACACTGTACTACACTGTTTCCAATGGAAAAAGCATTATCCTAATGTTAGGTTAAGGAGCTCTCATGGTGTAGTGGTTAAGGCATTTGGCTGCTAACCAAAAGGTCAGTGGTTTAAACCCAACAGCCACTCTGCAGAAAAAAGACAAGGCAGTCTGCTCCCATAAAGGTTTACAGACAGCCTTAGAAACCCAATGGGGGTCACTATGAATCAGAATCAACTCAATGGCAGTGAGTTTTGTTTTTTCTTTTTTTTAAATGTTAGGTTTAATGTAAAAAACATTAGTATGGAGGGCTTTTGCTTACATCCTTAGTTAATAACGGATATATTTACCTTCCAACCTAAAATAACTGAAAATAAAGGGAAATATCCCTAATAGTTTTCAGACACTGGACACGGGGCATAAGAGGCTGATCTCTGAGAGAAGAGAAAGGAGCAAGGTAAGCGCAACATCTGACAATTGATTAAGCTGTTGCCTAGAGAGAATTTTTAGGCCTCCGAGCACTCACACAGAGCCCAGCAATCTCCTTAATTTAAGGAGGCAAAGTTGAGAATGTGGAGGCCAGTGCAGCTAAAATTGTAGTGTAGACTACCAGAAAGAAGAGTGTTGCACAGAAAGTGAGCTCCAGTTATTTTCAGAGGGTTACCCTTGGTCTTCAACTGAGTAATGACCAGCACGTGCGTGTGAAGAAACTACCTAAAAGGAGCATGTGGAACAAACATCAAAGCTCATAAATATATAGATAAATAGCTGCTGCCAAGTCAGCTCCAACTCATGGTGACCCTATGCACAACAGAATAAAGCACTGCCCAGTTCTGTGTCAACGCCACGATCACCAACATGTTCAGTCCACTGGTGTAGCTATAGTGTCAATCCATCTCACTGGAGGATTTTCCTTCATAATGAGGAAGAAAAAAAAAAAATCACTCAACAGAAAAGTAACCAGAAATCAAACCAACAACAGAATTAGTAGACAAGAATATTAAATATTTATAACTAAATTCTAAATTTTCAAAAAGGCAAAAGAAAGCATGAGCACATTAAGATGATCATGTTAAGGAGAGGCATGGAAGATATAAAAATGGCCCAAATGTTTAAAAAAGACCTAATTTGAACTGGTAGGCATAAAAATTATCAGGTCTAAAAATGAAAAATACACCGGTTATCTTTATGATGGATTAAACAGTGCAGAACAAAAGATAAGAGAACTTGAAAACATCACAATAGAAACTATAAAAATAAAACATAAAAATAGAATCAAACTAAAATGTGAACTGTGCAACAACCTGAAGCAGCCTAAAAAAGTGTGCAATTGAGTATCTGAAGGAAAGAAGAGCAGAAAAAATATCTGAAAAAATAATAGCTGATATTTTTCCAAATGTGAAGAAACCATAAAACCCACAGATCTAAGATATGCAATGAACTCCAAGCATGTGAAACACAAAATGAAGTACGCCAAAGCATGGGATGAACAAACTTCTCAAAAACTGTAGTAAACAGAAAATCTTAAAAGCAGTCAGAGAAAAAAATACATTATGGTACCCACCAAACCAAACCCATTGCATCCAGTGGATTCTAACTCACAGGGACTCCATAGGACAGAGTAGTACTTTTGCATAGGCTTTCCAAGACTGGTATCTTTTTGGAAGGAGATTGCCACATCTTTTTCCCACAGAGCAACTGGTAGTTTGAACCACTAACCTTTCTGTTAGCAGCTAAGAGCTTAACAATGCCACCACCAGGTTCTTTTTACTATGGTACAGTGGTACAAAAAGAAGGATAGCAGATTTCACACCAAAAACAATGCAAATGATGGGAAGCCACAATTTTAAAGTATTAAAAGCAAACAAACAATTAAAAAAAAAGAAAGAAAAAAAAACCTTGTCAACCTAGGATTGCATATCCAGCAAAATTACCTTTCAAAATTGAGATGACCTTCATTCAATAAAGGAGCTCTGGTAGCACAGTGCCTAAGGCATCTGATTGCTAGCCTGACTGCTAGCCGGAAGGCTGGTGGTTCAAACCCACCAGCCACTCCATAGAAGCAGACTAGGCAATCTGTTTCTGTGAAGATTTACCACCTCAGAAACCCAATGGGGGTCGCTATGAGTCGGAATCGACTTGATGGCAGTGGGTTTGGTTAATTTTTGGTTTTTCATTCATTAATAGGAGGCCCCCTGGTTGTGGTGTGGTTAAGTGCTCAGCTGCTAGCCATAAAGTCAGTGCTTAGAATTCACCAGCTGCTCTGCAGGAAAAAGACACAGCAGTCAGCTTCCAAAAAAGATAAAAATCTTGGAAACCCTGTGGGGAAGTTCTACCCTGTCCTACAAAATCACCATGACTTGGAATTAACTCGATGGCAATGGCTTTGGTTTTTTGTTTTTTTCCATTCAATAGAGATTATAAAGATGCCTGGAGGAGACTAGTGGAAATAACAGATTTGTAAACAGAAGTGCCATGTAGTGTGAGAGGTGTTATAAACCTTTTACCTCTGATTTTTTTTCAGATGACAAAAGCTGAAAGAATTCATCTCCAGCAGACCTACACTTCAAGAAATGTTAAAGTCCTTCAGACAGAAGGGAACTGGTAACAATTAAAATATGGATCTATAACAAGGAAACAATAAGCACATCAAAGGAGTGGCTATGTTTATATCAGACATAGATTTCACAGCAAAGAATATTACCAGGTAAAAAAGAAAGTAATGTCATAATGATAAAGGCTTCAATCTATCAGGAGGACACAACTATCAAAAATGTTTACACACCTAACAAAATAACTGAAGCAAAAATTGATAGAGCTATAGGGAGAAACAGAAAAATATAGAATTATAGTAGGCGATTACAATGATTACATTTTATCACATCCCTGTTCAAAACCCTATGTGACCCCAAACTTGTAACAAAATCTAAGCCAAACATCAAAATCAAATACCTATAAACTATCACTTATCTCCGAGTCTTATTCAACCACTCTCCCTTTTGCTCACTTAGCTCCAGCCACACTGGCCATCTTTCTGTACCTGGATAATACTCCTAAACCTGTTGTCACTTCTGGGCCTTTGCACTTGCAGATCCCTATGCAATAATGCTATCACCCCCAGATATTTGCATGGCTCTGGGATCTGCTCTAATGACACCTCTTGAAAGAGGCCTTTCCTGATTACCCCATCTTATCCTACCCTACAGCCACTACTCCCCTAATCCATCTATTTCAATACCCTGTTTTTAATTCATAGCATTAATTTGTATTTGACATTCTACTTAGTTACTTACCTGTTTATAATCTGTTTTCCCCAAAAGAATGTAAACTCCAAGAGACCAGGGACCTTGCTGTATGCATCCCCAGAGTTGAGAATATTGCCGTGTTGTTGTTGTGTGCCATCGAGTCGGCCCCAACTCATAGCGACCCCTCCTTGGGTTTTCAAGGCGGTGTCACTACGGAAGTAGATTGCCCAACCTTCTTTCCAAGGAGTGGCTGGTGGATTTGAACCGCCAGCCTTCTGGATAGCAGTCAAATACCTTAGGCACTATGCTACCAAAGCTCCTAGAACATTGCCTAGCACATAGGAATTCATTAAGTATTTGAAGAATAAATGATTAACAGACAAGTATTAAAAGTATGAAGAGCTACGTTTGACACATTAAGGAATTTATAATTTATCTTAAACCAATGGGAAATCTTTTATGTTTTGAACAAGGAAAGCCAGGTTAAGATTTGATTTTCAAAGGCTTTGCTACGGTTGTTGTGAGAATTCAATGTAGGGAAGCAAGAGAGGAAGAGGCACCAGTAAGGAAAGTATTGTAGAAGCAAGAGATGATGGGTGGGAGTGAGCTGTTCCTAGGAGTAGATTAAAGCCATTATAGAAAATAGCACAGATAAGACTTGGTGAATCAGTGAACGTGCACCTGAGCCTTTCTTGACTCTTGTCGATTTCTCCTCAATGTTCCCGTCACTCCATTTACTCTTATGTAAACACATGATACTAACCCATTTACAAAAATGTCTTTTCTATTAGAATCCTCCAAGCATTCCGATAATCTCTGTTGAATGAAAGTCACCTCAACAATGCCTGCAGAATGAAGGTCATTCCATTTGGAGGCATAACTATGTCTGGAATGCAGATCCACAGTTCAATCTATACGGCTGTATTCTTGTGTTAACAGTGGGGAAAATGAGCATCTCAACACTGCTCCACGAATATGACCGAGCACCAGTAACTGGAAAGAGACCCTGTGCCAGAGGAGGTAGAAGGGAACAACAGAACGTGCTGGCCACCGCGTACGGAGAAAGAAAGCTCGCTGCACCAGAACAGGACCCAGAGCAGAAACCGCCGCGAGGAACAGGGAAACATACATGCAGAGGATAAACCCCAACCCGCTGCTTCTACACCAAGAGAACAGGTAATGGGCGGGCAGACGACGTGCGGCCTTCCCCCGGGCGGCTCTGGCTCTGCCACGGCGGCAGCCATCATGGGTCCGGTAATCCCGCCCCTTCACCTACCCCAACTCCCGGAGAGGACGCGGCAGACACTTACGCGAGCTTGAGCTCTGTGTTCGAGTGGTCCGAGACACCGCGGTAGAAAAGGCACGCAAGGTCCTGGCCCCCGGCTGCAGGAACAACCACGCCGGGAGCCCGGCGGCCACCATAGCTGGGAAGACGGCAAGCCGGAGGGGACAAACGTAGTCCAGTGTCGGGGGGCGGATCTGAGGCCGCTTTTGCGCAGGCTCGCCCTCTTTGGCCCCCGCCCCCAGGGTTGGGAAACGGGAAACAGGTGGAGCTGTGAATTGGCGCCTGAGCCAAATAATGAAGGAGA